CATATCCATCTGTTATCTGTTTGCAACTTTTACATGTAGAGCAATGCACTAATCAATACCAGTTCTGATGGCATTTAAAATTTGCTTTTTTTGCCATAGAACGGCTACTCCTCCTGCGATTCACAGTTGATTCAGCAGCTCCACAGAAACAGTAATTGATAGAGTTCAATGTCCACAAATTCTCCTTCAACAACAACATTTCTTGTAGGCAAAGGATATCATTACAGCTTACCCACTGTCATACATTATGCTCTGTCACTGCTGTATTCAACGCATACAGTTTCCCAGCAGCTATAGGGTATAGCACTACTGCTGCAGCATTCAGTCTTATAGCATCATTGGAAATGTTCACTCCAGAGACTTGGGACATTTCGGGCATACTCTGTGACTCCTCGTAATACTGCACAATACAACCCTCAGACCACAGCTCCGGGTTATACATTTCTGCAAAGTTCTCAAACTCCACACTGTTTTTAGAGGAGCTGTATTCTTGAGTTCCTAATAACAATACATTGGCACAGTGTATCACATACATTTTTTTCTTTACGATATTTAGTTAATTTCTCATCCTCAAGATCTGGAAGAAATCTAGTAGCAAAGACAGTTACAGGCTTTGTTCTAACCACTTTTATGGTGCTTTGCACACCACCACCAATAATGGGTGTTGGGCTTCTAGCTCAAGCTAAACAGGCTGGTTTGGCGGGGCATGATGGTTCTTGGCTCTCATATATCGGCCATACTTAATACCAAGTTCCAAGACAGTCACTTCAGTAGTCCTGGAACAGCTTGCACTGGTCCCATTTATGGTCAAAACTGTATTTTTAGCTTTAAAGTTGAAGAATCGACATATGCTGTCAATACTCCGGAGATGTCCACAACTGATGTCAAATCACTGGTGTTAGGAAATCGTGAAGTAGATCTATATCCGTGTTTTTCAATTCCCTGGTGCAGGGCAACAAATGTTGCTCCTTTACTGCGACTCTGGTGAATATTAGTAGTAACCTCTCGCAACTTCTCCCCGACATCCACTTGGCATGCCATTGTATGCTTCAGGCCACAATTGTCGCTTTGCAAACACTCACTGGCGGTAGCTAATCCAGTAAGTGAAATAAAGTAAATAAAGTGTGGTATATTTTCCCTGCATTCATTCATAAGCTTTAGACAACTTTTAATGGCGTTCACACCTTTCTGATTTCCTGTAAGGGCCACATTACCGGTGCTTAGAATTGTGACATGGCTCAAGCAGGACTTTTGTAGAGGATTTCATCCACTCAGTCAAATGTGTTTGAAGCAAGCAGCTCAAGTTCATCCTTTCACATGGTTCTAATTTTAACTACAAGGACGTTTAGAAACTCATCCTCTACTATAAGGTTTCCATTGATAGTCTTGTTGATCTGCAGTTTTGTTAAGGGGCGAGAGCTTGCATGCCGAACTCCTCTCCATCCACCATCTTATCAATATTATTATCTTTTTTTGTGTTGTTTTGTTTTTTGCAGGCTTCCTACTTCAGGCCTGACCTGAATATCTTTAATTCACTGTTTGTTTGTATTTGTTTTTTTTTTTTACAAAATCGATACAAAGTACAGTAGATTGGGAACTTCTGAATTATGTTATTGATTATGCATGTTGTTTTATATGAAAATTATGCTTGTTTTTTTAAGAAGAACATTACTCTGTCTCTTATTCTGCTTGGGAGTGGTGCTCAACAATTTTCTCGCAAAGTTGTCCTAGATGACATGCAGATCCAATCTTATCAAATTGTGCTGTGTTTTAGTTGGATACTGTTACTACTCACCAACAAACCTTGTCCTGGCTGTGCTCCTTCCTGTTCACAGTAGACTCAGACAGCAGGGGGAATAAATTGAGCCAAAGTGTACCCCTACTTGATTGTATGGCTTCCAATACAACCTAAATAGAGCTTATAAAGTTGCCACCCTACAAAGCTTGGCCCCTGTTGGGACATCTGATATTACTGCTTAAATGTCTGTGAGCAGGTGGGAGGTATGTCTATGCACAGTTCATACAACTCATGTTTGTGGGCAGCCTTCATGTTTGCTGCTGCATGTTTATGTGAGCCCATGTGCACATGCAGGGAATAATCAACTCCAGATGAGATCTGGGTATCTGCCAGCTTCCCAGAATAGCAGCAAAGATATCCTTGCAGCCCTCCTACTGGCCTCGGCAAATATTTTAGCAACTTTATGTTTACCTTCACACTCGAGGGTTCTCACTCCATCACTCCAAGAGCCTCTCTATCAAAATTAACCTGCTTTCCCTGAAGTAAACCCCTCAGCAGAGTCCAAATTGGGCAAACTTTGCAATATGTTGGCCTCATATAGATGCCTGAAAGAAACTCCCCCATGCTTTGCTCCAAAAAAACATATTCCTGTATCTGTTAGCAATGACACAGCTGCTTTTCCTATAGTGAGATACTTACAGGGAACAAGGCATTCCTCTCACAGTGATTAATGAGATTTTTCCATTTTTTAAGTCCTGCTCAAAAGCATAATAACAAAATGTGTCTAAAGTAATATAAACCAACATCTGTCCTATCGTGTTTCCTGTTTTTACAGGGCTTTGAAAAATTGTGCATACCAGTCTAATGTTCCACATTTTGTGATGTTAAAACCACAAATTTAGTTTTTTTTTTTTTATCTGGGTTTTGTGACAAACCATAAAGGAGTGAAAGCTCTCAGATGTAAAAAAAATAATACATGGTTTTGTCAAACTTTTACAAGTAAAAATCAAAATGTTGGGGTGTATTTAAACTTTACTCGGAAATCCTTAACAACCAAGTGCAAGCCTAACCTTAACCCTAGACTATCTGTGTGTGATTTAATCCAAGTATAAATCAAAAAAAAGTTTTTGAAAGACTCAAAGGTTTGCTAAAAAACCTTAGTGTACCAATAACATTAGGTACTAAACTGGAATCCAACTTTCCAACAGTGTACTGTTTAATATATAACTCAAAAAATTAAAGAGGTTTGGAAAAACTAAAGGCAAACCAAGATATGGCCTAATCAGTAAGAGTGGTAGACTCTTGGTTTTGGCTGCCATTTTAGTTGAAGTAATGGTTTTAGTCGTTTGGATGAAAATGCAGATTAGTTTATGTGAAATATTCAATATTTTACAGCTTTAGTCTAGAATTAGTTAACAAAAACCCATAAAAAACTCTTTATTTTTCACAATAAATGTAGGTAGCATTACCATGGCAAACCACATTTGATAATGTGTTACCGTAAGTTAGATCTACACATAAATCTGAGATTGCTAGGGAAAGGAGGGACATTTCTAAGAACCCTCCAGGCTGATTGGGCAAAGCAACACCTAGTGCCCGCCTACCAAAATTTGGTTTAAGCCAATCAGTGTTAACAAATGAAAATGTTAAAGCTGTCATGAGAAACCACAGCAACATATGCTTGTACCACTATTGCTGTTCCTCCTTCAAAGATGAAATCATGGATTGTGACTAAACAGAAGCATTAGCAGCAGGTACACATAAGTGTTGTTTATCTTTGTTTGCCACTGGGCTTAGCAAACACTTGCTTCCATCACAGCAATATATCCCCCCTTAAACCATAATACTGCAATATGATTTTCCCACTAGTTTTGGGTTTGTCTCCGATGGCTGCAGATGCAACCTGGATTCTCATGTTTTTTGGAATGCATCAATACTGCAAGAAGTTAACCTGAAGGAAAGGATAAGGAATCATTGGTTATTAAACTTATTTACGCATGTGTGTATTTGCACACTGTATATATTCTAAAACATTTCCTACAGTCACATACAGCACGTTACATATCATTATCTGTTTCAACACATCAATTTTAATGTCCTGCTTTGTTCAGAAAATAAAACTGCCTTAACTATCAAACAAAATGACGAAAAGGATTTTTAATAGCTTAGTATTCACATGTCTGGAACCCACTTTGTCATGATCTGATCTTGATTTTTGGTTCTGTTCAAGTTTTCACTTTAGGTTTCAGTCACACTTAGATTTATATTTCCATTTAGAGTAATGTAAGTTATTTTTCTGATCATATTTAAGCACTGTTTTATTTCTTGGTTATTCTCTGTTGCCCCCTGGTGCCTCTCTCCCTTCCCCCTAGCTCCCTTCTAGATACTTTTGTTCACACCTGCTCCCAATCAATTGATTACTCCATTCATTGCTCTGTCTGCCATATAAACAATACTCCTCCCTGTTTAGTTATTGCTTAATTTATGCTTCTGTTGCCACCACTTTAATTATGAAATCTGCAAGCAACCACCTTATCTTCCCTCTCTGATTTGGGTCTTGCATCTTTTTTTTCGGGGGGCAATATCTATGAGTGTCTTTTATGGGGCAATATAAATGTCTTTCAAATTAGTGGCACTTAGATGGCACTAAGAACGAGAACAGCAACCAGTCTAAAATGCTACATCTCCCATGATCAGATATCACTTAAAAACTGGTTATTCAATTCCAAGAATTTTACAAAAACACATTACTTGTAGTTGAAAACTCTAATAATCTTACCTTTAATGAGTAAGTGGTGACTATCAACCATAAAAATACACATTGAGCTTGTCAGAAGATTAGGGGATATTTGCAACATGCTGTCTCAATGTGCAGGCTGTTTCTTTGCACAAGGAATTTAGAGATTCCTTTTTGGAGTTTTATTTGTTCGTGGGCTACATGTGTCGGAAATTTTAGTCGGAGAATCATACTATAAACATAATGCTTCCATTGAAAATCATGCTATTAACAGCATTCTTCTAAGCATTTTTGCTCCAGCAGGGTTTTTATCTATCAGAATTACAGAGCTATGCATTCTGTGTTTGATTGTATGACTTTGTTTTCCTTTCCTTTGGTTCAAGACAGAAAATCCTAATAGAATACTTTTGCAAAGTATTGTAACTAATGAATAACCTAATGAAAGCTGGCTTCTTACAATGCAATTTCTTATTTCTTATGTGTGTTGTTTTATTTTTTATTTTTTTTGTTTGCTTTTTATTGCAGTGCCGTCCATCCAAAGGAAGGAACCGGGGCTTCTGTTGGTGCGTGGACAAATACGGGCAGCGTCTCCCAGGCTACGATGACAAGCAGGGCAAGACAAAGTGCTATCACCTGGAGAGTAAATGAGAAAGAGGATAGATAAGACAGTATGTGGATGGAGAGAGACAGGGAGAGAGGAAAACAGCAGAAACAAGGGAGGGATTAAGAGACAAAATGAAAGGAACAAGGGGAAAAGAATGAGGGCCTGTTTTTACTGTTGAATTTAGAATGATGTAAACATTTGAAGAACTTTGGTCCTTTGGAAGGGGAGGGGAAGGGGTGAAGCACAGCCTCCTGAACTTTACAGCTGTCACATATTTAGGGGACCTTCAGTCTTTTAATAAAATATACAAAAGACAGAAAAAACAATTACAAAAGAAATTAAGGTGAAAAAGAACAGGAGGGATGAAAAAGAATCCTATCATCTGCACTATTCTTAAAGAGGGAGTGGAAGGAGGGAATTTCCCACTCACCTTAAAGAAGACTTGTTTATGACTGAGACCTCGCCCCCCTCCAAAAAAGTCGCACCAACACAATCTATCACGTGTGTTTGTTTCACATGTGTTACTGCGAGGTTTGTTTGTCTTTTAATCTGCGAGCACCTGCATAACCTACGTTATCACAGCTGTCTGTCTGCAAGATGGTGTGAGAGCATGCTGTCTCAAAACAGCTGCCCTTTCTTAGACCCTTTTCTATCAAACTGCAGAAAAAGACAACATCTTGCTCAGGATTTATTTTGTATTGCAAGGTATATGGAACTGCAGAGTTGATTTTATTTGAGCGCACTCACCTCCTTTGTTTCTTGACTCTTTGCTGTTTGTCACACATGTGCAAGGCTGGAGGCAAACTCTGCAGTTAGTGCCTTAACATGTTTTAATGCCTTTTGTTTTTCATGCTTGTTAATTATGATGCAAGCAACATATTGAATTTAAAAAGTTATCTTCCATCATCACAAGTGTGTCAACCAGCACCTACATGATGACACATTTCTAAATTTCTAAGACAATTTTAAGGAAAAGGTAGATTAGCATAACATCTTGCAACGTTCTAATAGATTTCCTGCTGTGTTTATCTACACTTTGATGAAAACGGCATATAAAAAATACTTTTCCAATCTGAATAGGGATTTTCATAAAATTAAAAAGCCGGCCAAGATAATGAATCTAATAAAAACATGTTAGTGTGTTTTTACACATGACATTTCCCTTCCAGTTTATCTTTTTAAATTCTGTTGTTAGAATTTACAGTTTTCTCACACCTTTTTTAATCCTTCTAGTCATCCATCTTTTCCTTTAAGTTCCTGATGCCGTTTCCTTCATGTTCATCGGTTGTTCAACAGGATTTGGCTGGTTCAGTATTTACATCTTCTTTGATTGGTTTCAATTTTGTTATGGGTGGAATCAGGTGTGAATGTTTTGCTCTGCCATAGGTGCAGCTGCCCCCTATGCTTCAAGCACATGCACTTATAGCACTTTAGCTGTCCTGAGGTGTATTTCATTAAACTTGCTTAGAAAAGCCAGACTTTAACATGCAATTCTGACTCTACTTAAACACAAGTACTACTTAAGTGGTAATTACTGGGTCATTTGCTTAATGTCACCAATAGAAGACACGTTCAACTAATCAGTGTTGCTGTGGTGTCGATACCTATATTAACCATAAGGCAAAACATGAATGGTTTTTCAGAAATTTAGTTAAAAATGAAAAGGTATATTAAATGTGTAAATTTTCATCTTTTTCAACATGCAAATTATTTCAAGAGACATGCTAATTAAATGTGATAAACCAGGCGGCAACACTTAAAACACTTTGATATTTGAAGTGTTAGTCTATAGACTAAAGGTAAAAATGTAAATATCATAGTAAAAATGTATTCAAAAAGATAGACCCCATTATAGTCTAGTTTAAATTCAGAGATTTTAGACAACTTAAGTTAATTTGGATTTCATTCAGCAAAAATCTTCCTTGAACTAAAAAAGGACAAAATATTATAATCAACAAAATGACCCTCCCAACCCCCACATTTAAATCTTTCAGATATACCAGTGATGTAATACACACTTTGCAACAAGTAAAACCTAAATATAAAATCCTACTTTAAAATGGAAAGCTGCAAATTATAACAATGATAAGAGATTCAAGCACTAGAAATATGGGTAGGATTTTCATCATTATAAAACTATTCATATTAATTGATTTGCAGCTGCAAAAAAGAAAAAAAGACAACTTTACATTGTGTCTGTAAAGTCAGTGTAAAGTCAATGTTTAGGTCCTCTGCAGAGTAGTAAGTGCATCGTCCCGGTTGTTTTGTGGGATGGCTGAGGTCCAAACAGAACCAACAGAAGTGTTTCCTTGGTGGCTATAATAAGTGCTATCTGAATAGTGCTGGAAGTTAGAAAGTAGCTATAACGAGGATGCGGTATGCTTCCTATCTCCAACTCAGTTAATATTGGGACCTCCTGATATTCCTATCCACGGATAAAAGCTATATGGATGCTCAGAATCCTTTGCTTGACAGGACATACAGTATAGGCAGAGCCTAACTAACCCAAGGAGTTTGACAAAAATACATTATTTCATGACATGCCCTGTGTGTGAAACATGCCAGTGTACACACCTTCTTATATGTTTTGGGTTTTATAATGGAGCGCTTCAGTCATTCCCTACATTTTTGTAACCTTTGTTTTCTGCAATTCTTTTCCAGGAAGCTGTAGACCTAATTTGACCAGCGTCATTTATGTGCATGTCTGTCCCGTAATGAAGTAAGGATGAAGGCTGTCTGGATTTAGCACAGCAGGAACTTTTTTTTTTTTCCCCTGCTTAGAGGTTCTTACTGTTGGTGCCATAAAGGGTGAAGGGATATGAGCTTTGAACAGGAGCTAGAAGCTTCGATTTGAGGTATTAGGGAGGAGCTGCAGTCCAGACTAGGCTCAGTTCACTGGGCCAATTGCAGTTGTAACCCAGTCAGATTAAGGATGAGCGATCAAACCAGAATGACAACAAAAAAACCCAGACTTGACCAACTAAGCCTGGCTTATGAGCTAAGCAAGTTTTATGAAAAACCTCTCTGATCTCAACAATGTAGGCAGTTCAAGACAGCTGTACCTGTCTGTGTACCTTCCCAAGGTAAATTTAACAGCAAATTTTCCCTTGTAAAAAGCAGTGAAAGTACATTTACAAAATTAGGCTGCAGTTTTTTGCAGAAAGTTTACACTCTGCCTATTTTTGTCCTTTCAGGTAGAAACCTTGATGTAAATATTTAAAGTGATCTTAATGTGCAGTTTTATGGACTTTCTATTTATTTTTGGAAGTTTGAGCCATTTTTCTCTCTAGCCTTGTACCTCAACATATAATATTGCAGTATTACATATTGTGGAAAGTATTTTTAAGAAATACTTATAAGTAAGTCACATTATCTGAATGCCTTTGCACCCATGTAAGGGTGTGTTTTTACATAAATAACATTTAACATGGATAATACATGAAAGAAAAAAACAATCAAGGTTTTTATTTTAAAAGAAATATGCTTACATTTCTTTTTGATCATTAACACAGATATGTTACAAAAAAATGTATTTTCTGGCATTTTTTTCTCACTTCTATACCAGAATTAAATTGAGTTTTAAAATGGTGAAAAGAACACATCTGTGTTAAAGATGTATTCCTGTGGACTAGATTTCCATGGAATATTAATGACGTGAAAGCAACCATATTTATGTAACAATGGTTTAGCTATTTGTGGTATTGTTTTTTTTTTAACTATAACTTCAAACTTCTCACAAACTGGAAAGTATGTGAATACTGTTGTCAAAGCAAAAAGGAATTACTAAATAACATTTACAAATATGTTTTATTAAGCATTTGCATGTCATTTTAAGTGATACTGTAGATGAACAATGCAGTGGGGAATGCACAAAGTGAAACAGCCAGAAAATTTATAAAACTAAAAATAAGCCTTCTTATGCTAATGATGGATATGTGAATAATTAAAAGTCTGGATGCAAGCAGGTAAATAGCTCCACCTTGTTAAATATAGGCTCTGTGTATGCTCAACTAAAGTTGAGAGGTAATGTGGAAAGTTCTTTGAAATGCAGGAGAGAGAACCTGCTACTGGTTGAGAAGTTTAAAGATAATGCCCTTATTTCACAAAGAACTATGGTAAATGGTAAATGGCATGTACTTATATAGCGCCTTTATTCAAGTTAGGAGACTTGACCAAAGCGCTTTACACTACATTCATTCACCCATTCACACAAACACTCACACACTGATGGTGGCAAGCTACATTGTAGCCACAACTATAAAAAAAAATACTAAGAAAAGTTACTGCTTTCAATTCAGCTTTTTGTTTGTCATAAATGATACTTCAAAATTTGAATAAGTTTTCTTTATGACACAGAGGTTTAATTTTTTTTTCTTATCTATTATGGCTCAACACCGAATACTTTGTCCAAAAATAGATATATGCTGAACTGAATTTGACCAAGTCTGAACGAAATTCTGTTTTAATCTTCTCAACGTCTGCTATGGCGTTATAACTCATATATAGTTCTTTTAGAATCATGCTCTTACGTTTAATGATTATTCTCATACAAAAGCAGTAGCTGGTTTCTGCAAAACAGTGTAGAATGGTGATATTGCTAAGCATTCAAAAAGAAAAAAAAAACATTTAAAGAGATTTAGAAAGTCTTGAAAACTGTTGCTTAAAATCACTTTAAATATAGTTTAAGAAAGTTTTTTTTTTTTTTGCCTGGAGGCAAATGATGTTGCAAAGAAGGGTGGTTTTAAACATTTGGATTGTGGTGTAAAGTATGTCTTTAGCAGTAAACATAAACAACCCCTTTGAGTTTTATTTTCCATTCAGTGAATCTATTTTTTCCACCTTTGTTTTTAACGTTGACGCTTTTGTTTCTTTGAAAAAGTGCTTGTATGATCACAGGCCAACAAATCTCCTCAAGGTGGACACAGCACCAAAAATGCATTCACTTACATGGCAGGGGGTCTTACAGAGGCGGTGTGGTCCTCTCTGTGGAGCTTCCTGCCCCATGCTCTCCTATATCCTGTGCACAGACTTAAAAGTGGAACGACGAATGAAGAGTGTGCGCCCAGCAACTTAGCAGCTCCATATCAACTTAATGTGCTCAGATGGAGGCAATTTCCAACCAGCCTGTTGGTGCTATATACCATCTACTAAAAGACTTGATATAAGGGGAGAAACAAACATTTAAGCTATTCCCTCCCTAATATTTGTATGTTTGTCTTTTTGTATATTATATTATTTTTGTTTTTATTAGTAATATTTCCTAGCCAGCTTCATATCTGGCTAGATATCATGTACAGTACTTAAGGATAAAGATTATTTATCTATGAAAGAACTATAAGCTGATCCAAAATAGGTTTTCTTAATGAAGAATTCAGTGACTCACCGATTGCACAGCACAGTCTATATTATTCAGTGTATTTTTGGGGACTATAATCACTAATGAATGTTTCCTTCCTAAAGAACTGTTTCCTTCTGCACCTTTGGGCGAAGCGTTTTCAGCTTGGCATTCAGGTCATCCATGTTCACCAGCCTGTAAGGACAGTGAACCTCTCCCACATCACTTCCACTTCCTTCCATGCACACCCAGGTATCCCTCCTCTGCCAGCCAGTGCAGAACAAGAGTCGGATTTCTTTGCCATTACATTTTGTTTTGTTTTGTTTTCCCCTGCTTCTTAAAGATGGAGCTCTCTCTGTTCACGGGTATTGTTGTGTTTTATTCAAGCTTCTTGTGGTACAAGCTACAAATCATACAGCTATTTTTTTTCAGAGAGAGGAAATGATTTTGAATCAAAATATACTTTGTATTTAATGTCATTTTTAATTAAAAAAAGAACACATTTTAAGAACTTGGTCTGAGCTTTTGTTTTGTTTCTTTTGTGACTTGTATTGATAATTGTCTTTTGATTGTCAACATGTAAACCACATATATATATATATATATATATGCAATTCATTTGACAACAATAGCTTCTATACTGTAAAAGAAGCTACCCAAGCCAAGCTGGCCTTTCCAAATAAAGAAACTCCAGTGCCTAACCTAGTTGTGCCACACTGGAAATTGACAACTACAATCAAGAATTAAATTTGAAATTCAATTCTTCTTTTCAGAACAGTTTTTTATCTCGCAAACTGCAGGGTTCTTGCAACAACAAAAAAGGCGGATTAAGTTTATGCACAGCATCATAATGATATTTAAGTCTTGTTAAGCAACTCCCATACCTTAATTTTAATGATATGAAATTAGACATTACATTTAACGCCCACTGGGGGGACTGAAAGTATTACATTTAAGCAATAACTTTCGTACTGCTACATGTTCTGTGAAAATACCAGATTAGGTGTGTGTTGGAACAACAAATGAAAGAGTGATTTAAGCTCAAAGTAAAACATATTCCAGTTCCAGATTCATAACAAAACCGTTACTCTAAGTTACTGGGAACACAAAGAAAAAGAAATGAAAATGGTTGAAAACCATGATCAATAGAAGGATCCAACATATTTTATTAATTTAATCGAAGAGTTTGGAATAAGTTCAAATTAGTTTTTAACTAATTTAGAGCAAATTTAAATCATTTAAACCAATTCACAAAGCAGATCAAATATAAATCAAACATTGTTTTGTCAAATGTTTTGTCAAACTATATACATAATTGAGTCTTTACCTTCTATGATTACTCCTGAGGAAGCTAAAGCTCTTAAGCTTTTTTGTTCATATTTTGATAATCAAATGAAATGAGCATATCAGGAAACGGATACAAATAAGTGTTATATTATTGTTTAAACCCTTGTTAAAATAATGTTTGTTTTACCTTTATAAACAACAACATAAAACATGTCAGCATTGGGTACCAGTATCAGTTGACATCCGCTTCTTGTTAGCCAATGACAAACAAAGATGCTAACCCAAAATGTTAAATGGAAAATCTTTCCCTAACTCTGCCAGACCTGGAACTTCTGTTGATCTCCCTTTTGGAAATCTAAGCGTCTCCAAAATTCAGGAAAGCTTAGCCCAGCCTGTGGTATGGTCTGTGATCAGATGGCCTGGCCAGAAACCTTTGTCCCTTTTTATGCTCCATAGTTCCAGTCTACCTCCAAGTCATTCCTGTAAACTCAGAAAAAATATTGCAGAAAGTGTTTTTTACAGAACCTGGTTCTAAGATAGCCAACAGGCTGACTTAACCTGAATAGAGTTTGAAGATTCTTGGCCTGCCATTCAGGAGATCCTTGCAGTGGGACTCTCCCGGGAGAGAATCTGGGCCAAAGATATTTGGGGTCTGTGAGCAGATGCCTTTTATCCCAAGCAAATTGGGGGGCACCATCACATGTCCCAGTTGGGGTGTCATTTAGAGTGTCTGCAGCCTTTAGAGTTTGCAAAGAAAATCAGATTGAACATTGGTCTCCAGTGTCCAGAATTGGTATCATGGCTTATGGCACAACACAGATGTGGACTTCCTATTGTGCTTCAAATCATTGTCTTTTAATAATTTTATCTAGCTCACATTATCAGAAAAGTAATATTTAAGTTATGTTCAAGATTCTACAAGCTGAGCCTAAATAAACTAAACTCTGCTTTTCAGAAACTTTGGTCAAGCAAAGTTAATTTAGGATTTATCTAGGGAGGACAACTGCCTTTTACACTTGGGCAAGTCTTTTTAGTATTTTTGTCTGAGTAAAAGCATTATTTGAAAATTGCACCATTCATTTAAATCATTCATTTAAACATCTTTGTCAGGTATTGACATTTCATGATCTAAAACATGTAGCTGCGACAAAAAGGTAAAAACAAGAAGATAAAAAAACACCAAAAGAATTCTGTAAGGGTGGAATATTTAATGTGGTGAGTTGCTGTCATACCTTGAACCTACAATGGTAGACCTATTTTAAATAACTAGAGAAACGTATATGCCAAAAATATAAATGCAAGAAATAAAGCAAAGTCTATTTCAGGTAAGCTAATGTTTGCTCATAAGCATTTACTGGAAAAACATTTCGGAAGAATGTGAACTATTCCTTTAATTTCTGCAGGGAATCAGGGCAAAATTTGCTGCTTAGATGAAATCAGGCTTCCTTCAGTGGTGGAATGTGTCAATAAGGATGGAGCAAGGGTTCAATTTGTAAAGAGCAAAAATAAATCTGGTGGTGCCAGGGAGGCTGGCAGTGGGCACAAGAGGTTGAGGCAAAATTCCTGTGCCCAACCAAGGCAAATAGAGCGGGTCAAAAGGCAGCTAAAGTTAGACAAGCACCTCCACTTTAGATATTTGTGATAACAAAACACATTGCATACAGAAAAATGTGATCTTGGAAAGTATTGAGGCAGAAGTGTTTGCTTTTTTGTGATCTTTTCGATATTTATAGAGCCTAGCAAAAGATTTTACTCCACTTGAACTCTTTCATAATTTGCCATTATGTAGAGCCACAAACTACAATGGATTCCATTCTGTTTCTTGGGAGTTTTTTTTTTTTTTTTTTTTATCTTAATAGACCAATGGAAAGTGGAGCATAATAGAGTAAAAATGAAAGGAAAACAATATAAAGCTTACAAATTTGTTACAATAAATATTCTCAAAATTGTGGAGGGGTTTTATATTCGCCAACCTTGAAATAAAAACCACTGTTCAAAATAATTACAAACAGCACATATTCTGATGATTTTAGCTCATTTTTTCTTTGAAAGAAGCTCAAACTTGGCTAGATTGTTGAGGTCATCAATATCTTTTGCACCAAGATTCAGTTTTACAAATGGATTCAGATATGATCTTTCATTAGTCCATCACCACGCTTTAAATCAAACCATTCTCTCATAGTGCTAGTTGTCATTGTCCAGCAGAAAGGTAAACCTCAGCCTGTGTACTTCAATCTTAAAGAGGTTTTCTCCTAGCATAGACTGTTTGTGGTTAACTCTCACTGTTAGGAGACTCTTGCATTTCTGTCTCTGTTGAAAGGCATCTCCACAACATGATGTTTCCACCACCATGTTTAATCTTTTGATTCAATGTACTATGTATATTTTCTGTTGTACATAGTGTTTTGCATTTGGAAAGCTTATATTTAAATTATGGTTATGTGGTTTTGGTTTTAATTTCTCAAGCACATTTTGAACCATAATTGAAATTCTGCTTTAAGATTGCTGTCCATTTCTGAGATCATTTCTTTTCTAACTGCTCTATGTGACTTGAATTGACTTCCAATGTTGTCATAGTTTGATACTTTCTTTTTCTCTGTTCTTCCTCCAACTTTTTTTTATATCTACAAGTATATATTAATAACTGGTCCATACACCGTAAAGATTATGTTTTAGAATCATTGTTAATGTGAAAGAACTCAAAATGTATTATTAAATACCATTTGATAAATAATTCTTGATTAAACAAAGTAGTGTTGCTAAATTGTGTCAGGCATGAATTATTTCCCAAAAATGTTACACGACTGTTCAGTTATAAAAGCACTTTTTATATCTACAGCACCAAATATGATACACACATTTAAATGTAATATAAATAATATTTTAGGTAATTATGCATAGTCTCAGAACACAAAGCATTGACTTAACATTTGAAAAACAATGTATAAATAATTCTTACCATAACTTCACTAAAATTGTAAATACTTTCCTGCAAAAACGGTGTGATCGGAAGTATTCAGAGATCAATGCTTCTGTGTTGCTTTTCACTTTATTCTGCAATGTCTTCTCCACCCTCAAGTGATTGTGGCAGAAGGCTATCCATACTGAGTCTTCTACTTGTCATTTTCTTCCTCTGAATAGAGGATTTTTTTCTCTACATTCTATCTATCTACATGCTCGATATAAGGTATTGCTGCACGGTCAAGGCCAAACTGCAAGCGACAGTCCATTGTCGCTATGCACATCAATGAGGAATGAATACTGCAAAGTCAGTGATTCAATTGAATATGTTAGTTTCTTTTAATTAAAAATGTTTAACTTACTTTTTTGAATGGTATAACTGAATTGACTCTGTAAGGTACCTTGACATGACATTTGTTGGGCTTTAGAAATACAATTTATTGAATTGAACTGAAGAGCAGAAACACAAATTAATGAAACTGCGTAAATATCTGAAGCCAAGAAAAATGTTAGTTTATTTTTTCTTCTCTCCAACTAAAGCTTATAAACCTAGGTGCTGTATTTGATTCTGTCAAGATATCAAGATATCTTGATATATCTAATTCGATGGAGGGCGGACAGGGTTTACCCAGAATGCGGTTGTTTGTAGGTGAATGGAGGAACTGATTGCCACTTAGATTTCCTGCGGTTCTTGAACGGGTTGTTGTGGAGATTAATCCCTAGCTCAGTGTGAAGCTCAAATGATCTCTTGGAGAAAAGTAGATCCAAACCACCAGTTTGAATCCTCAGCTCAGTTTGAAGCTTAGATGATCCTTCCAGGGAGAGAAGGTCCAGAACATCCAGTTTGCAAGATGACTTCCTGCCGAGAGGAAAAGACAAAATAACAAGGTTAAGACTCAGGTTGACAAAAACTCAGTTTGACTCAGCAAAACTCAGCTTGGCTAGAGTACCCCAAACTGGCAAACACTATGGGTTCGAGGTAGTGGCAGTCAGCAGCTTAAGAGCACTCCATTAACGAGATAACCCTCCGCAGGTGTGTGAGGAGGCGGACCAGAACCAGGCGCCTCCTGGTGGAGGAAGGGAGACAAACACACAAACACAAACCACACAGACAGGAATCCTAACATCGACAGTATTTCTAATGTTGGAAATTCAAAACAGTTTTGTGGAGTTTGAGACCTGGTCCAAGTTTAAAGGACATGTTTTAATACAAGGGGAGATAAACCTTTGAAATTGGAGGTACCCAGGTTATGGGATAATTTGCCTCCCTTATTTAGCTATATTGATTCAGTTGATTCTTCTTAGGAAGTAGCTCAAAGGTATAGAGAACGATCGTTTATTTCCGGGTGGATCATCTAAATAAATGGTACTCATAATTATCAATCATTCTGGTATGTTTACATAAGGCCGTCCTACGTGCTCGTTCTCAGTAAGCTATCTTTTTCTGCACATGTGCACTTTCAGGCATATGTGCGGTGAGCTACGGTTTCAGACAGTCATTAAAGCTCACCTTTCCCACTGTGGTTCTTTGAAAATGGCTGAGATTCGTAAGAGAAAACGTTTCTACGAAGTGTATGAGACGAAAAGAAAGGCATCAGAAAAGGCAGATATATCTCAGAATGCTTTGCGCGGAGAGCTCTCATTGCAAAGAATTATGCGATTTGCTGTCACAGTGGTCCGCTGTCGATAGCAGCGACTAATAACAAAGAATACCCAGGAACCGGGTAATGGAGGAGGATTTACGTGACAAACGAGGAGTAAAATGAAATGGTAAGTTAACTGAGTTCGCTATAAAGTCCCCGTTCGATATAGTGATTGAGGGATTTAGGGGTTAGGGCAGATGTTCAGACACAGTACGCTTGTATGAGAGATTAGAATGGCAAGTTTTAAATAGAGGAGAAATGTGCATGAGGAGAAAGGGGCTAGTGCACGCTTTCGCAAGCGTTTAATAGGGTTGTGCATGTGCCTTTTTTTTAAGTGGACAGGGCGGGTCTTTTCAGCAATTTGCGAAAATCCTCCTCTATACCTTTAAGCTTCACACATGCAGACAAGGTTTTATCTAGAAAACTACTCTGGACTCTATCAATAAAAAGAAATGAAAATAAATGAAAAATACATTTTATTCTTAGAGGTTAATATATATACTTGAGCTTTTGTGATATACATGTTTTGTTGTGTTTTTATCTTAATTTTGTATTGTATATTTTTATGTTGAGGTATCTTTGTAGTGAAATGCTTTGTGACATCCTGTTTTAAAATGTGCTATTTAAATAACCTCTTTATTTAGATTTAAGCTGTTTAATGTTTTTATACAAGAAAAAAATTATTTTGAAGATGTAGCCAAGTTCTACCTTTATATGAGTAAATATAAAAATGAAATAGGGCTACTCTTATTTGTTTACAATTTCTTGCTTCTCTACTCCCTTTTGCCTACTGCATAAAATATCAACAAAACATTAAATCTGTAGTTTAAGTGCAACAAAACTTTAAAGAAAAGAGAAGAATGCAGCTGAGATTAATGTTTTTATTAAATATATCACTTTTTTCTTACACATTACATCTCAGTAACAAAAGTATACATACAGAGTTAGTCACTTTGGAATAGCTCCACATACAATACAGTTCTCTCTCTCCAACAGCAGCATGTATACAGAGCCAGAACAAGCAGCTCTTTCTTTGTGGTCATGTGGTCAAAGAGGACAGACACATTAAAACAAAAATGACAGCAGACACATAAATATTGGAGGTAGGTTAATGTAGAGATACCCGTCTGAGAGGCAGCGCAGGAAAATTGCCACCTAACACGCTAACTGAGGCCCCATGGAATCATGGGAAATGATTTCTGAGAGTGTAGAGGATTCCCAACAGAGAGCTTTTGCATTGACGTACTGAAAATGATGTATCATATCAGGAAATAAAATAAAAATATAAAAATAAAAGAGAATAAAAATGGCAGTAAGGTGAACAAGAATAAGACCATTTAGAAAAACTTCTAAACGAGATTTGGTCACTCAGTGCTTTAGTTCTTGCTTGGTTTTTCTCAAACCCAACCTCCAGACAGCTCCTTAAGGGTAGAGCGAGCTCAACTCAGCTGTGGAGCTGTGGAGGCCAAGATACATATATACACTTTATACACACATAAAAATAATAATAATATAATAACAATAAGGCAAAAGATATAAATACTCATGAATAATTACAAATATGGAAAAATAAAAAAAATCAATACAATAAATAAGGCTATAGTCCAGAATGTAAATGTATCAACATTAAATTCTCTTACAGAAAAACAAAAATAGATATCTTTGTGTCTTTGGGACGGGAGTTTGTAAAGGAGGGGGGCAGGGGTAGGGGGTGTCAGGGTGGTTGGGACCTATAGTCCCGTAATGACAGTGTACCTGATTTAAACACCACCATGGACAAGGTCAATAAATAAACAGCTACCGAAAAAAAAAAAAGAAAAAAAAAATAGTGGCTTGCTTCTTTGTTTCTTCTTTTCTTTTCTCTGTGTGAGATCAGCCTTAAGCCCCAATCTCTTTAAGGACATTCGGCATCTTCGGGTAGGTTAGTAGAACCTAAAAGCTTCTTGCCGTTCCAGGTGTTCACACACCAACATCGACCCCTCTGTCCATCTAGAGAGGATTCACACTGATGGGGAAAGAGAAACAGAAAGTGTTCTTATTTCAACTGCTTTCATTTTCAAATAATCATGATCAATAAACGTATATCATCGTTAGAATGAAACATAGTACACAGCAAACCTAAGCCTTAGTTTGCAGCAGTTTCTAACTTGGATTCAAGTGTTAATCAAGTTATACTAAGGGCTAAAAAAGTGCATTGGAAGCAATTTTTAGATTAATGTCATATTTGCCTTCCACAATCTGCTGTTTTCACACTGCTAGTTAAATGTATCAAAAACTGCAAAACAAAACTATAGATAATTGAAATATAAAACTAATAATTAATATATTAGACTTGTTTTACAGCAGTATCAACTGTTCCCAATCCCCCTTTCCTTATGTGGCTAGTATGAAAAAGAAATGGGATAAAAAGATGGGAATGTCTTCATGTTACATAATGGATCTGTGTTAATCACCTTTATTGCCTTAATGCAAAGCAGGTCAGAGTAAAAAGAGCTACTCATATGGAACATGTGCTGCATGATTAACACAGATTTTGTCAGGGCCCATTTGAGACCCATTTAAGAACTAGTATTTAGTCCATCAGCAGATCATATACAAAAACCCTATAAACACCTGAGCAAATTTAAAGCTAACATATACCTAGTGTTTGGGGTAGGGGAAACAAAATAAAACAATGCTTCACACTTTTGGATATGTTTCTTTGTTAAAATGCAAAAGAAAACTGTCTTACTGTATTAATGTACGCCTATTCCTGTTACACTGAAAACTATCATCTTCGTTAAAAAATACCAACCTGCTTGGGTTTGTAAAGGCCACGTTTGTCACAGTTAGGGAGGTAGAATCTGGTGATTTTCTCTCCTAGTTTCTCTTGAGATTTGGCAATCTTGTCCAAAGCAGTCAGCAGTTCCTGATGACAAGGACCCTGGACAGAGGAAAGGATGGCAAACAGGTTAATTCACAATAACCATCATAACTGCACTGTTTCAATAGGAGCAGGAACGGCGCTTGTGATGTCAAACTTCAAGAAAATTTGTGTTAACATGAGTTTCCTGGTCTCTGTCTCTCTCATATGAAATGGTACACCAGCTCCCCCTGGTGGGAAGTCACCTCCCCAACCTGGCAAAAAACTTTCATCCTCAGAAAAATCATAAATTTTACAAAATTTTTCTCACCTGCTCAACAAGTTTCTTGCGAAAGGCGTTGATTTTGGCTTTCATACTCTCCTGAGCCTCGGTCACAGCCCGCGGGTCAAAGGGGAGACCAGGAAGATAGCTGGAACTAATGATGGCTGAGTTGTCCATCTCCGCGTCAGGCTCTTGCGGATCTGGGGGAGGAAACAAATGAATGAATGGGAGAAAAGTCTGACCGGTTTATTTGAAATCCCACATGCAAGGTTCTCCTCTGATTCCAGCGGAGAAGATGAGAGGCCTACCTTGGATCTGTGGCTCCTGAGTGGGCGCCGGTGAAGCGCTCTCTGTGCACACGGCTTGTCCACGGGTGAGGGAATGCAGCGGCCGGGGGTCGCCGGGTCTCGGTGTGCATTTCAGTCCGGAGCCGCACGGGGCTGTGTATATTCCGCACAGATCGCCCGCCTTTAAGGCGCAGGCAAGGCAGCATCCGCAGCCTGGCTCCCGCATAACCTCGGCACAGCCGGGTGCAACCGCCGGACACTGGCTCAGCCGTTCAGGGGTGCATGGGGCGCATCGGATCGGTTCTGACCCCACCACCGGGGACCCAAGCGCCACCGTGACGAGCAGCGAGCAGAAGGCTGCTGCCACCGCGACGTGTCTCAATCCACGCATAGAAAACATGATCTGAGTAATAAATTGGATTGTGAAATGCAGAGCAGTTCAGAGAGGATTTACAGATAAAAAGGCGCCTACGGTTGCTGCTCTGTGCCTTTCGGTTGATTTTGGGAAGATGTCTAACTGTGCGTTGCGCGCAGCCGTATTTATAGCCAGTCGCTCTGTGAGTGTTTGACGCATCGGCGTTATGAATGATTTCTGAAAAGAAGGTGTAATGATACGATGGGCTCTGATTGGCCAGGCCGTGTCCGGTCATGCCGCTCATTTAAATACAACAATCACGCCAATATTTATTTTGGAACAGGCGGTGCCTGGCACGTATCGCTGACGACACTAGTGTTTGATGTTGCAATCAAGGACACCCCACCCCCCACACCCACCCCCCCATTCCTCCCCACTCCCTTTCTCACGCGGGTGCTACTCAAATCCGCCACACTAAAGAAAAAAATAAACACACATAAGCATCAAACTCCGTTTCAGCTTCTTTCCATAGCTTGAAGGGGGAATATGTTGGTACTCTGGTGCAGTGTCTGATTTCTGCTCTGACATTAACGAGCCTCTATTTCCGGCAAACCTGTCTATTCAAGCGTGTGGTTCTTTATTAATTGTCCTCAAAATAAAACCTTATACAACTTTTGGGAAACCTAATAGCCTAATGGGCGCAAATTACGCACGCCCACGCTGCGCGCAAAGAGCGTGGGCGCCCTGAGAACGAACTGGCCGATCCGGTATGACATGAGAAAGCTTCCCGATCATTACACCGAGATAATAAAGGCAAGTTTCAGAAATAGCATCACGAATGAGGGTCGGCGTTTTCGCAGAGGGAGAGAGTGACTCGGGACATTTCGGTATGCGCGCACAGAAGCCTGCTTTTGGGCTCCCTCCAAGAGATGTCCCACTGAAATTACCCTTTTCCTGGGGATAATAATAGGCCGGAACTCCGATTTGGGGAAGTTTGACATGACCACAGACACGTCTCTCACATCGCCTTCCTCCGGGGGGTTGAGGGTCCCAAGCTGAACGAATCTGCACGTTTTCACGGCTTGTTGCAAAGACGGCTTGTGCACTGTCACTCCTGCCAAGAATGTTACAACCTTCCATCCTTTTTTTAAACTCCGCAGCATGTTTGCTTCCACTGCTTTACGCTTCGCACTCGGGCCTGTTGAAGATTCCAATTAATGACCCTGTCCTGTCGCACTTTCTGATGCAACGAGCTGCGCGGTGTCGTTGTCTGCATGCAACTGCCTATGGGATTGCATCATCTGACGACAGGCGTTAATCGTCACTAACTTTGCCCAGATTTCTTCCTAATAGAGCCGTGAACATTTTCTAGACTCTGACCCCCCTTAACCTCTAGTCCAGAAACCTATATATTTTCCTATAATAAAAAAAACAACGAAAAACAAACAAACAGGTTATTAATTTGTGCTGTTAGGGTTAGTACAGTTAAATAGTTAGATATTAAGAGTCAATCACCTTTATGATTAAAATGCCAGTTCAATTTTTATCATTCTACATTGTCATAATGATTTTTACTACAGTGCATTTTTGCAAAATGATCCATTTCAATTCTTGGATTTATACAAGAAAAAATTGGGGAACAAAATTGAAAACTAAAGAACTTTGAAGTAGTTTATTAAGTACAGTGCATGCAACCCCCCACTGCTTGGTGTGCCTGCAAGTGGAATTATTTCATCATATGAATGACGCACATATGGGCTACATGTACAGTAGCAGAGGATCAGGTGCTACTCCTCAAGAACAGCAAATTGCAGCTACAGTTGAAGATGAAAAAAACTGATTGAAAAAAATGCTTCCTGTTCTGATGAGTCATTTTCAGCAGCAACATTCAGATGGTGACATGAGTGGAAAATATGAAACTTGGAATCCTGCTTTGTATTAAGGGTTAAAGGATAGTGGTAGTGGGTTAGTAGTGTGGGATATTATCTTGGCATACTTTAGGTCAGTGGTCAGCAACATTTACAACCCTGGAGGCAATTTTGCATTTGGTCAAGTTCATCAAAGTTTCCTTTAAGCCTCAAAAGCTTCATGACCATTTAAAAAAATATAGAAAGTTGGAAAGGTTTTTTTTACTAAAGGAAAAAGAGATACAACTTTTTTAAATTAAAGAAAATAATCTGTTTTACACAAAAGAGAAAAAAAAATTCTTAAGGATATTAAAAAGAATGCTGTTTTTTAAAGAGGTATTGTAAATTTTTAATGACCAATCAAGTTGATAATGAAATAGATAAGAGTTTCAGTAAGTCTGAAAAATCACTGCTTAAGAAAATACAGGAAATGAGGATTGCTTGAAATAAGAATATGAAATATATTATAGGGTGGGATTTGAACCATGTAAAGGAAACCCATAAGAATCAACTTATCATTCATAGGCAATGTGATATGCAGTACATAGGGGAGATATGTACCACCTTGTCAGATTTACCTAGCACAGGTACAACACTCTCAAGAAAAAGAAACACACAGACACACTTTGTTCAGCATTTATTTAAAAACTTTCTGTCTCTATCTTCCAAGGGAATCCCAAACAGACAGCTTGCAGACGTGCTTAGAGTGTCTGGGTTGCCAAACTGGACACCAGACACTCAAAGGGACTTAATGGAAAATAAAAACTCTTGCTTTAGCCCCACTGACCTTCATTTTGTGACCTTTGACCCTAACATACAAGCCCTAAATCCTAATATTAATATGTACTCTGACCTTTCCCTCATCCTATTTCAATTCCAAATACTATATTTATCTTGAAGGCATGACCCCTGACCCTAAACTACTAGTCTTGATTTCTAAAACCACAATTCCTACTGCTAACCTCAACTCTGACCCCCTTGTCATTCTGTCCCCTCACCCTGAACGTTGGACCCTAACCCCTGGGCCCTAATTCCTGAACCTAACCTTGTTCCTGACCCCAATTCTATCCAGCCCCATCAATATGACCTGCAGAGTCCAAACCTCTAAAATCTACATTCCTAAACCTAACTTCAATACTGACCTCATTCTCACCCGAACCTTCAGACCCCTCACCCCAACTTCCGATTGTTGTTCTCCAGACCTCTAAAGGGTAGCCCAGGAACAGTTTTGGCCTGTGCATTACAGGCGGCAGAATTAAATCTTGTTTCTCCCACCACTCTGTTCAAAGCCTAAAGGGTCTACTAAATATGTGTTGTACACAAAAACACAAGATTTTTATGTAACCACACAATAACTAATTTGAAAAATCCTGACAAAGTATGTACAATCTTTGCTCAAAATAAACCATTTAGACTACAAGAAATACTGATTGCTTGAAAGGACAATATGATTTTGCCAATATAGAACATGCCAATGTCTTAAAGGCAATGTGAAAAAGAGGGAAACTTTGATGATATGTGGCTGAAGGTTAAAATTGTTTTCCAACTGAGTAGAACAAGCATGAAGCCATTTTGGTATCATTCCAAAAAAAGCAAAACAAGAATATTTAGAGTTGAAAAGAGAGAAGGAGGGTGAAAGGAATCACATGTGCTAAGCAGCGAAAAGACAAGTGATCATAGACATGAAGTTAGAATGGAAGTGGTACAGGTGGCACTATGTCCCCCAAATTAGACCACGGATATTTTAATATCCGTGGTCTTATTTGTATCACATTTGGAAATATCAGCTTAAAAAAATAGACTCTTTGGAAATGTCCTGACATTTGGCAGCTTTAAACAGTTAACTTTCTAAAGAAAAGAAAGAAAAATACAGAACACTCATCTTTTCTAAAAAGGAAAAAAAAAAAGAGAAGCTCATAAAAACGTACTGAAACAGTTATGATAACAAGTCTGCTCTTCTTGTTGCAGCGCATTAAAAGACTTCCTGCTAGCTGAGGGTGAGCAAAAACAAACCGCGCTTGGACATCCTGTAGGACAAATTGTATAAGCTGCACAAGTACACGCGTCACATGTTTAAATGAAGGCTGGATATATTTTTCTTCTGAGCCCTTACATCTCAGTAAGGGAAAGCAGATTCAAAGCTGCAGGGATTAAGCTTCAGTTTATTTCTAAGTCTGAGGGAATGCTTTCAGAAAATGCAAAAGAACCATATATGATTTATTTAACATTTTTCCAAATTATGGAAGTATGCATTGAGAGACCACATGAAAAGATTCTTTTAAAGAAGTTCTCTTCTTCTGTTCTTTATTTTTGGTGGTTTTTATTTGTAGGAACAGATGATTTTTGATTGTAGAATTCTAAAATTAAAGAAGGCAAATAACTTTTTTTCTCCTTAAAAGTGAAAAAAAAGGAAATTCATTTTTTTCCCCAATTGAATGGTTGTTCAAAACATATTTTTATTAAAATCCAAATTTTTAATCAAAACTTTTAGGGGGCTTCTTCCAAAAAAGCAGGTGAGTACTCAATAGCAGAGTAGGTTTTGTTGGAGGCTCCTGTGTGAATAACCACATAACAACACCTCTCAACCAATAGTTCTATCTGCATGATTTTTAAGATCATACTTGGCTAAAGATAGGTTAACAGGATAGATTTCTAAAGATAAATGATTATCTAAATCTGTTTTGTGCCACCTATCAGCTCCATCTATCTGCTATTCCAAAAGCAGGCTGCTCTAAGTACCATTGAAGCAAACACTTACACCAAGTTACAAAAACAGCAGCAGGCGCAAAATATGACCAAGATCAAGAAAAAAAGGTTTCCTAACAGAAAATGAAATCATCAAAACGCCTAACTGTATGAGAGGAATCACCGTTAGTTTGGGTTTTCTAAATCAAAAAGATGAGGTAATGTTCTTAATGCACAGCAGAAGTTTGGGTAAGATTAGTAAATGATTGATCAATAACTGATTCAGTTTAGGATTCAAACTAAGACTACAGGATTTCTTTGTTCTGATTCTGGCATGTAGTGTATTATTTTGTGATAAATGGTCAAAATAAAAAAGAAATGTTGTTGCCTTGAAAATTAAGCCTATTTCTTATTTTCTCTTTTCCTGTTGTAGTTATATTTGTCCTCTTAGCATGTGTTGTTTTAAAATTTTAATGTCAAAACAATTTTAGAAATATATAACTAATAAAAAAAAGTTAATAAATTCTCATATCATACAAAACAATTATTTTATTTCAAACTAGTAACACAACTGAACTTGAAAGATCACATGTTTAAGTAGTTTTTTTTCTATCCTTTTTAATGGTTTATCATTATTCAGTGAAAAGTTTCCTTAATCTAAAGTTAAAGATTTTCATCAACATGTTTTCAAAACTC